AGTGAACCCTCTTTCTTTTCCGGTTTTTCAATTAAAAAAGAGGCATGACATAAAGCCCTTCATACTCTAAACACCTTGATAGGAGCTACGGAAGACAATGTTCATTGATCAACTATTTTCCAATATTGATGTTCTTTTTGGTTGAAAATGAAAGTGGAACAGCTCATTATTCACAAGCAAAATAGAACTGAATTGAAATGAAAATTATGTTAATGAAACTTTGCGGTTTGTATATACTATTATAGGTACAATCAAATGGAAATAATTTTTGATTGAAATAATCAACAATAAGGACATTGCAATTTAATAACTTTGCTGAAAGCTTAATAATCAACACCAGCAACCTAGCACAGAGAAGGAAGATAAGGAACATATCAGAATTTCAGAAATAGAAATGTTAATCAACAAGAAGAGAATCATCAGAGAGAAAGGCTCAACACACACGACCTTCTCAATGAGCATAGCCCTCCAATAAAATGTTCCTCCACTTTGCTCTCGTGATTTTTCCTTGTGACCCCTTTTCCCGAATCCTTAGCCACGTCACCTTCATGCATAAATACTTTCCCGTATTTTGCTGCTCCACTTGTTAGCCTGGGAGGGTTTGGTTTGGCCTTGATTCAGGCTGCATGTTACAGAAAGTCAAAAGAGAAAATCTCTTAGGAAATAGTTGACACGGGGCTAGTGGAAGAAATATTCGATCATTGGGAACGTACTCTACCCACCTTCTCTTTCACGTCACCTTCTACAACTAGAGAGAGACCTTTCACGTGCCATTTTGCTCCATTCTGCTTGTAGGAAGAAGAGAGAATTATGAGAAAAAGGAAACCTGAGAGAGACAACGAACCTTGTTCCCCTTTTGAGTTCTTATGAGAAAAGGGAAACCTGAGAGAGACAACGAACCTTGTTCCCCTTTTGAGTTCTATCACAGATATAGATTTTTATGAATGGAAATAGTAACCCTAAATTCAGAAACAGAGCAAAACGAAACAAAAGAAGAAATACTTCAGAGAAATTTTCCAGAGCTTTCAAGCACGCCTTAGAACCTGAGAATCGAAGAATAGAAGAATTGAGAACTTATCAGTGAAAGAGAATTGATTAGATTAGAGAATTAGAGAGAATCTGATAATCAGAGGGAATGAACTATATCAGAAGGAAGCCAAATACCATTTTTCATGCTCAATTCAGTTCATAATCTTTCCATTTATAGTTGGGCTTCCTTTCACGAGTGCTGCGCCTGGTCTCCACTATTTCCGAATCATCTGCCCCGTGTCTTGATGCTCCAACTAACTCTCCCACCAATTGTTTCTTCCTTATGCACGTTACATGTTCTGAGAAAGAAACCATAGTTGCACTCCCTCCCTTGATCTCTGCAGCACAATTCTTCACTTTTTGAAACTCCAAACTTTCTATTCTTCCGGCCACTCAACTCTTTTAGAGCTTTCCTCCTTGTCCCTCAGAAATTGAGATCAAGAGCCAACGACAACCTCCTCTAGCTTGCTGTTGTTGCACTCCATCTTCTGCATCTGAGGAGACTGTGGGCTTGAAGTTAATTCCTGCACCTCTTTTCTTTCTCTGTAAACAGCGACTAACAAGGTAGGGAGGAGTCCAAATGTATGTCTTCTGAGTTTAGTTGCATGATTAGTATGTGTGTTGGTAAGTGTCTGGTCTTATTCACTGTGATGTCTATAATTTTAAGCCTATTGTGGTCTGCTTTGTATGTGTGTTCTCTATGTCAATCAGAGTGTCTTTCTTCACGTCCAAGATTTGCATGATTTGATGTTTTGCTATTTTCTGTTATGCATGCATTTCTGAATCAGAAAAATGATTTCCTTCTCTCTCTGCAAAGTACATAGCCTCAAGTTCAAATAGTAATGTGTTGAGACTTTGATCTCTACAATATGATATGTGCTGAGTAAATTGCTTCTCTTCTGTCCTTCTGTGATGCGTGGAATCTGGAGTGAGTCATGGAGTTCGGTTAAGTCTGCCACGTGTGTGCTGCTACATCACAATAACACGATTCATCATTCATCTAATTTCTCTACCGTAGAGTGCTATCTTAAATCCATAATCATGACTTCTTGCTGGTGAACTGATGCATTTTCTCTGATGACCAGATGTAATTTCCTCATTTCTCTGAAATATGCGTGTTTTGAGTCTGAATGACGTACTAAGGTCTCTGCAACCTGCATACCCCTGCAATTAAGAAAAGTGCTCTCTTTTACTATTCTGTGATATGCATGTTTCTGAACTAGTGTTTATGCTTTACCAATTTCTGTAACTTATATGTTTTCTGTGATTAAGTGGAAAGTTACATGTTTAATTTCTGATATGGAGAAACCATGAGCACTGAGATCTGGAAATGTGTTTATTGTTTGGAATGCTGCATAAATTCTGATTGTCATGTCTGGTACCTTGATAGTCTCGGATCAGTTCGGAAACTTTAGAAATATAATACATGGCTGACCTGTTGAAAACCACATAAGGCTGAGAGGAAAGTTTCTTTGATTGAAGCAGCTTTTGAGCTATGACAGTTTGAAATCCTTGGCTGAACCGAGAACCCTTGCATGTGAAAAAAATGCAAGAATGGTATCTAATAATGTTTAAATTATGTAGCTGATAATATAAGTTATATCATTAAAATAAGAAACATCAATTTCCTTTTGACCCTGAACACAAGCCTCAGACCTGTACCAAAAGCTGAGAGTAAGCAGATTGCTAAACCAACCTTTAGATTAATGTGTGTATAGTCACCTAACTCTGTGCTGTTGTTTACTTGATAAGATTTCCCACATTGACTAAAAATAGAACCAAAATACTCTTTATAAAGAATATGGTAATCTTAACTTTTAGGAGTGAATTAGGCCTAAGTTTCTTAACATGGTATCAAAGTCAAAGTCTATTCAATTTGAATGTTAGTTTATCCACAAATGTCTAGTCTTGTTGAGCCACCCGTGCAGATGTCCAGTCCTTAATACCAGACATTTTTCTGGCTGTGTCTTGGGTTGTTTCTATCACCCTGAACTATGAGTAACCTTAGAACACTAAAACCCTTAAAAATCTCTAGGCACAAAGGGTAAGGACTGATAGAAGGAAGTGTTTACTAGGCAGAATCCTGCTAACGATCTAAGAAAACATAGTTGGACTAATAGGGAGAGCAACAAAACCAAATCAAAGTTGGGTTGGCAAGTACTTAAAAGTGACCGAGGGTGGACTACAGCAAAGACTTAGGAATTCACCCTAGAAACACCATAGTTGACTAAAGAGGAGACTAATACACTACTTAAAAACATTAAAAAAAATCCTGCAAATTACCTTGGGGAAAGAAACCGAGAGACACCTAAGGTTAGACAAGATAAGTTCTAAGTAAAAAGGGTTAACAAGGAGGGGAAAAACAATAAGGGTAGGTAATAGATAAAATTACAATTAATTACTTTAAAACCACTTAGGGGATAGTAACTGAGAAGTGACTAAAAATGGAAATAGCTATCTTAACCTACACTACCAAACAAGAATGTAATTTGGTACAAAAGGAAGTGTAAACCAGAAAATAAGTGTGAGAATTACCAATCAGACAACAAAAATTGTGGTGAGGATAGAGAATGAATATACTTTTACATCATTATATGTGAGGGACGAAATTGTCAAGGCTACAGTCCAATACAACTGTGGGATGTATGTGTACAAGTTTTGTAAGAACCTCAAAGACGGCAAAAAAGAGAGATGACCCAATGATACTGAGTAGCTCACTACGACGAAGTCATTACTGTGACATTTGTAAGTATTAGTTTATGACATTAAAAAGGCAGAGATTTCATCATTTGGGAGCCATATTAACCTGTTGAAGAGCAAGACTATCAAGAAAAGAATTTCTCTTTTGAATACCAAAATTTTACTATTCCCACTGTATTGGAAGCACTCTGATTGTAGTAAACCATAACTAACTCAACAAGTAGTGCAGGAATTTTCTTTCGTGATATTGATTTTCTACCTTTACCAACAGCTTAAAATCCAATACTAATTGCAATTTCCCTGTAATTTTTGTAAACGAAACACAACCAAAATGCAATTGCAATTTAAAACCCCAGAGCAATCTAAACTTGTTAAAATCTAAATATTCCACATTTTACAGAATGAACCCTGGCAATCTCCTGATAACCTTAACCACCCAGGGATCCTGAAATTCATGCTCTGAAGGCTCTGAACCATTGCCCCACAAATATTAAGGATTAGTCATAATGAGCCACTATAATACTCAGTGGTTTGCCAAATGCCCAAGACAGCATACTCCATTTCAAATAATCTCGTCAGGGGTGTTTATTTTTCCCTTACATCAACGATAGCAAAAATCTACTTTCATAAGCTAAGGAGAGAGATCATCAGGAAGCAGCTGAAGATAACAAAGAAGATGGAGACATGTACAAGGAATTCTGGTGTTTTATAATCTGCCAAATCTACTCCTTCAGTCTTCAGAGGCAATAAACCAGTGGACCTCCACAACTTTTCCTAAGTAGATGACATGCCTAAGCGTAGTGCAAGTAAAAAGCATATAAATTTGAAAGGTTTCTTTACTCCTTTTATTTTAGAAAGATCTAACATAATGGACAAAACTAAGAGGGCCAATACCATTTGAAAATAGTTAAGATGATCGCAATTTCCTTTTGGAGATGAACATACAAAAAAAAAACATTATACCCAAGCGCCTTATTGAACAAAGCAGAATTACTGTATAAGAACAACTCATGCAGTTTCATGGCACAGTTTAATTTGGTAAAACAGAACATTTCCAATGGTATGGATGCGCTCCTAGTCCTTTCCTTCTCCTATGTCTCATTTTACTAACATCGCATACTTTTCATTGACACAAGCAGCAGCTGTTGCTTAGGATCAATGAGATAATATCCAATGAAGCACAAATCCTAAGAAAAAAAGATCACCCTTCTTTATTCTCTTTAATTAAATTATTACTATTCTTCCAATCCCCAATTCCAAAATGCTAAAGCAAGACAAATAAAGCACGGTGAACTCAACTAAGAAAATAATAAAAACTGATATAACATAATCCAAATCCAAATCGTACATGTCATAGTGGAATCCATATATCAACAACTAAACCATGAAATGCAAAAAATTACAATTTCACCACAAATATCAACCAGAAAAGAGGGACTCATCAATTTCAATCTTCACAACCTCATTATCTTCGAACTTGTCTTTCTTGGAAGGTGCCGGTGGTGCATAAAGCCTCGGTGGTCCTCTACCCTTCTTCTTATCCTTTGGCCTTGCCTAATAATAATAATAATAATAAGTAATTAAAAAAATTGAAAACAAAAGAGAAAATGGGAGAAGTATACATTTCCAAATGAATGGTTGAAGCGCTTTCCCTTTGCAGTTTTCCTGTCGCCTCTGCCACAGTAGACTGGGAGAGAAAGAAAAGGTAGAATTGTGAAAGGGGGTGTAAGAAATTATACAAAATAAAGCAAAATTATTGCAAAGTTTGAAATTTTTTTTGAAGCAAGTACCAAAAGGGGTTGGTGAAAAAGTGGAGGTTGCAGAGACTGAGAGCGAAGGAAGGGGTGTGAAGAGCGGTGAGAAGAGAGTTTGGGAGTGAGAGAAGGAAAGGTGAGAAGAGGAAGTGTGAGATTGATTGGCGAGTGGAAGAGGTGATGCTAGCAGCAGTGACGCCATGGCTTAGGATAACTCCAGATAAGGCTTGAGAAGGAAAATATGGTGTTGGAGCTGAAGTCGTTTTGTATTAGAGTCAGAGAGTAATTAAACATTTGGGAGTAGATATAGAGAATTTACAGTGAAATGTTACCGTAATAAAAGAATTGGCTTAGAAGGTTAAGGGTTACATATAACAAGTTGCATGTTTGAACCCTTCCCTTTATAAAGTGAAGTTTGTAAGTGTTCAACATTTTTTCTTAAGAATTCTTCTACTAAAAAAACTTATAGACAGTAAAAATTGACTCCTTTTTCTCACAAATTGAAATGTGTCAATTATTTCTTCATCTCCTTCTTATTAACGCACACCAAAGTGTTTATATTAATATAAATTTTATTTATTTATTTATTTATTTAATTCTTCTCCATAAAACATGTATAACATTTATAATTTATTTTTTTAAAATGGTATTAATTTACTACTTAAAAAATAAAAGGATTTAAATTATAATTATTATTTATTAAATTTTCTATATATTCTTTTTAAGTAGTTCTTGTTAAACTACTATTTTTACCATGATTTTCTTCTTTATTCTTTTAAATTAATTCATAATTTTATAAATTCATTTACACCTTAAATTCATCGAGTTTCTACTTCGTATTTTATAATTTTACAAATTAATTTATAATTTTTAAATTTACTCTACCTTAAATTCATCATAAATTCTATACTTTGTGATTGAATTATGATATATTAATTATTATTGAGATTAGTGTAATATGCATGCATCAGAGTTTTGTGTTATGTTAAGGTGTAGTTACTAGTTAACTATTGTAAATCCTATGAAACTTATCACAATAATTAACTTTAGTCAGAATTTGTATAAACCTTTATAACATAAGTAAATTTTTTGGCACATAAAGCCCAAGGACTTTTGATTTATTGGGCATTTTGGCCCATAAAACTTTTTGTCCCTAACTTACATAAACTAAGGATAGGGATAGAACAGTTGAACTTTTTGACAACTCTATTTATAATGATGTTTTATTATAGACAGCCTAAGATGCCTTCAATTTCAAAGCAAAAGAAAATGAAGCAATCACAAGCACACTCAATCTTAATCTTAAAGTTACAGCAATAACCATCTCAAACTCACTTGTCAGAACAACTTACCTCTTTATCCAAAGAAGCTTTTAGAAAGTTCCATTCATTCATCTCCAAATTATCAGGAAAATCGCCCATGTGATGAATCCACAATTTATTGAATTTTTACTTATCTTTTTAGTGTTCTTTAATAGAAAAAAATAGATTTAGGAAGTGTAAATAATATAAAAACATTATTTTGGTCAAATTTTATAGGTTTCTTAATTTTTGGTTAATTTACATTGATTTACATAGATATAATTTGCAATTTTGATCATTTGAATAATTGTGCATGAGTTTCTAGACTTATTCCATGGATTTTTAGCATTTGAGAAAGTTTGAGATGAAAGTGATCACTTTGAATCCCATAGTAAACACTACAGGAAGCTAAATCCAGAAGGGTAGACTAAAGTGATTACTATGAACCCATAGTAACAACTACAGAGACCCAGTTTGAAGAAGACCTGTGCGTGCTTACTATGGAACCATAGTAGACACTCTGGAGCAGTAACAGTAATCACTCTGATACCAAAGTGAACACTCCAGAGAGGGCAAAAGCACAAGACTTGCGCGTAGCTACTATGGAATCATAGTAGACACTCTGGAGTAGCTAAAGCAATCACTCTGATACCAAAGTGAACACTCCAGAGAGGCCAAAATTCCAAGACTTGCGCGTGGCTACTATGGAGCGATAGTAATTACTGTGGAGCACTACGCGTTATCACTATGAAAGCATAGTAGTCACTATGGGCGAAAATTTCTGCACTATAAATAGAATTTGAGAAATTAGGGTACAAAGCTTTTTCATAACTTTAGATTCTTTTGCCACTTTGGAAGCATTTTGTAGAGCTTAGGATCCTTGGGTGACAGCCAAGGCCAATCTTAGGGTTTGATTTACAATTTCTCTTCATTTTCCTTTAATTCTTGCATTGATGATATTGAATTTCTTTTGTTTTCATCTTGAATTTGTAAGACCCATCCTTATGGAGGGATAAACTTTCTTGTAATCCTTAGTGAGTTCATGGATTCTTGAATTCCTGGGTATGAATGTCAATATAATTCCCTTTTCCTTCATGAATTTACATTTTTCAACTCTTGAATTGAATTAATGGTTGAATGAGGGGGACATTGCTTAATTAACCCTAATTCATTTTAATGAAATTCTTAACTTGGTTTGCTTAATCCTAAGTTAATTTCTAAGGTTGCGTAATTTTGGGAAAAAGAGTTGGAGTCCATGTAATTTGCTTAAATTCGTATGGGGTTTTAAGGTTAATTCTCGCTTGTTGAGTGACCCTAATTCAGAGGAAGAGGAAAAGTATTGAATCTTGAGTGGAATAGGGATAGAATCACATGAACAAACTAAGGATTGTACATTTCATTGATTGAACTCATTAATTTCATCATTTGTTTTTGCATTAAAATTGGAATCACACAAACCCCCCCTTTTAATTACTTTCATAGTAAATGTTTACAACATGTTTAATGTATATTACTAACCAAAGTCATTGGAGACAACATAGGCTTGCATCCTAGACTACATAAAAATTCTACATATTTTGATGAGATTGACAACAAATCTTTTTACAAACGAAAATCGTGTCATCACCAAGTTGACCTCTTTGCCCCTGTTTCTAAGGGCTCTACAATTTGGCTTTCCAAACCTTTCATGCTTTCTTCTTATCTTTCCCTAGGTTTTGTCTCCCTCTTTATTCCATTTGGAGGGAACAATATTACACATTTCCCTCTTGTCTTGTTATCTAATCAATTTGTCAAATGTCACAGATTGATAAATCAAAACACATCTCATCATGCGGAAAATTACTTTGCACTTGCAACATTGTTCCTTTCAAGCAAGGTTTGTTTTTTGTCTTTTAAGTTTTATTTGAAGTACTATGATCCTTTTATTTGACAAAAGGAGATGCGAATGCTATGTGCAATTTATTTTAATAATTATGTATAAGAATAGAACTATTGTTGTTGAAATCACGTATTTTATTATATTGAAGTAGGTTTTGAAGAATGGAGTGCGCCTGTCGTTAAATATTTTTTATACCAAGGGGTGTCCTTCTATGGGCACAAGTATGTTTGTTCATTCATTACAGAAACAATACTTGTCTTCTCGTATAAATGAGAGCAATGAATTGTATTATACCAAAAATAATTGTTTGTCTATATATAATTGCAAGAAATTGTATGTTCGGTTTGTTCCTTCTAAGAAAATTGATAATTGGCCGTTGTTGAACTTGTCCAAAGTGAAACCCCTTGTCTAACATGAGAATGATGTTGTTGCATTTCCTATAAACACCTTTTTATGGATCAAAATTTTCTAATGCTAATGAGTTGTCTTCTCTAGTACTTGAAGATTCAGTGTTAAGTGTGCCCAATCAAAATATTCATCTTTTATTTTTTTTTTATAATTGAACACATTCTTTCATTTAATATATTACATATTGATTACTACTTAATATTTCTAGAATAGAGTATAAATTTATGAAATCTAACTACTTTTTATTGATATTAATGAATTAAATATTTACTTTTATAAATAAAATTACTTTTTGTTATTAATAAATTTCTTATGTTATTTTAAATATATTTAGTATGATTTTTGTACTTTTTATTCTTTCATCAATATATTTAATAAAGCTCTTATTTTTAATTTGATTTCTCTTATGTACTATTATAATCATAATGTAAAATTATTGTCTTGTCAATGGATATGATAAGATAAAAAATAAAATATAAAAGTAAAATAAAAATATGATTGGTTAAAAATAAGATATATTTTTATTTTATTATATATGTTTAATGTATACTAAAATAATAAATTAAATAATATTTTGTTATTTCTATTTTGTCTATTTATAACTTAACCCTTCTCTTTCAATAGATTAACTTTACATTAGAAGGATAAATAAATTAAATTTATAAAATAACCTTATGTTCGTTAAATAAATATTAAAAAAAAATAGGATAGTTTTTTTTTATTTATCTTATATTTGTATTATGTTCACAAAGTATCTTAATTATTTAAAAATAAGTTATATTCGAAGATCACAAATATAACTTTTAATATTTTCCTTTTCAATTAGTGTTATGTTTTGAGAGTATCAATGTACGAAACTAATTTTATTTTATAAAAAAAATTGGAGTTGCTTGGTTTTAAATATCCTTGATGACTTGTTCAAATGTTAGTGAAGTGGGTGCAGGGCTATCGGAAGTTTGATAGGTGATGAGAATGAATGAGAATAAGTGATAATAACTCACCTTTATAAAAACAAATCAAGTATTGCTCATGAAGTTCAAATATGCATCATCATATCTTTACATTACTTGCCAATTATCTAATGACTCATGAACCTTCAAGTTGTCGCCTTCTAATAATACACTTCCATAAGTTTGGCCTTATTAAATTTAATTAATTTTTATCTTTCTATAACATTACATTAATTAAGTAATGCATTTAATCCTTTATCAAATTATAGAAAATTGAAGCTTAATGAAATAACTTTCTTAGCACAAAAAGAAGAAAATTTATTACTTTAGCCACAAGTTTTATATCTTTCTCCTGTGTAATATCTTTCACAATCTTTTTTTTAAGAAAAAATTTTGATAACCATTTTCATAAATTGACTAAATTTTCATCAATTAAATAAATTATAATTCTTATTAATGGTTGTATAAATTTTTTCATGAGATAAATAATTTTATCTTAATTTTAAAAAAATTAATTTCTTTTTCAATTTTTCAACATTATGAATTTGTGATTAATTAAAAGTAAAATAATAAGATAATAAAAATAATAAAACAGTAAATAAAAACACACAAGTAATAGAATAAGATTGAGAATTATAATATTGAAATGTAAAATAAATAAAAAAATTCAATGATAGAAGTA